GTATGCTAACTTGTTACGCCCAGCTTGGGCTTACATCGCACTGTATGCTTTATGCGAATGACTCTAATCGTCTATTACAATTCTCGCCAATTACGCGCGAATCGCCGTTACGTCGCGATCGCTAGCGAGCCTAATGTTCGATATTTACAAGCCGCGTATGCTCGTGCCGCGAATGACGTTCTAGCTTTTCCAATAACGTACGCAAATTATCAATTATACTTCGTAATTGTTGTTTTATACAATTTATATAAATTCGCTGTGCACGCGAATCGACAATTGACAATCTTCATCAATCAAGACCATTTTGTCTCACGGCCAGTATTTTGGATATACGTATATAAGTAAAATCGCGTTTATTAAGCTTCAGTATTATTGTGGCAAGGGGAGTTTATTTAGTGCATTATTTTCATTCTCGTTTGTCGTATCTGATCAGCCCTTCGAGCTTACCACTCCTCTTGTGGAGTCCTTCCTGCAATGACGAGAGCATAATCTATTTTAGTCTTTATTTACTCGTTATCGGACAGGTTGCGTGCCAATATATCGATAAATTGCCGTCGGCAAAATCGCTAAGTAATCTCTATTTCTGGTCAAGTTAGAACATATATGTAATTATCGGGAGATTTGCCCTTTCAGGAACATACGGTATAAACTTCATTGAGTCAGGTGATGGTATCGATATCCGTGGAAAACTGCAGATTCGTCAATATCACTTTTCGATGTAATTTTCTCGGCTAAATCTGTGTAATTTTTTACTCGTTGCGATCAGAATATCCACTTTATGAGAGAGAATTAATATTTAATAAATGTAATGAGAAGCGAACAGTACTTAAAAAAATTATATTATCTAGTTCTTTTATTCATTACTTTTTGTTTTATTCATTTTGCTGTAATTTCGATGTAAAATCCGTGACTCGAACAATTTCCAATAAATCAACGTTATAATATATATTATTGAACAGAAAAATAATAAGTAATTTATGTGAGAAAATTTTATAGGCATTATTTTGACGAAGATAATTGCCTGTGATATTACATTTTTATGGCGACCATTTGAAGATGAAATTCGAAATATAATTATTTAAATATAATAATTCGAATAATGGCAGCGAAAAAAGTTAGAAACGTGCATTAATTCAAATTAATGTGTTTTTGTGCTAGCGATACAAGTAAATAAATAAATAAATGAGCTACAATAAGAAACACGTAACGATCATAAAAAGTGGCGATATCGTAAAAAGATGTAATGCTTCCACGTCTTCGGTGTCGTAAAAAACACGTGTCTGGAGCATAGTGCCGGTTTTTATTGTTGTGGGCTGTGACCCTTATTCGCGTATAATATCTCTTATATCGGAGAGAGAGAGAGCGAGAGAGAGAGAGAGAGAGAGAGAGAAAGAGAGAAAGAGAGAGAAAGGGGGAGGGGGAAGAGACAGACGATGACGACGGGAATTCCGCCTGGAATCATCCCGTAGCTCTCATCATATCTTCCGCGTTTTCAGCATGAAGTCAGAAACACTAAAGTGGATGAGAAATCGGGGATGAAATATAGAAGACCGTCGGTCCGGTCGACCCGTTGTGTAATCAGTCCGGTTCAATTTTGAAGCGTATACATACATACCGACGGACATACGTACTCTCACGACGGACGGCAAAAGCTGATTGGTTTTCGCATACTCTATTTTGTTTGTTGTTATTTGCTCGTTAAAGGTTCCTTTAATGAGCGGCATTTACTCTCAATTGTGTTTATGCAACCAAACGTAATTAAAATACGAAAAAAATGAATAGATCTTGGTGTTGCACAACACAAGATCAAAATAATTGTATCGACCTTTTTGCCGCGATGAAAAAATCCGGTGCAATTATTTCTCTGTAAAGCGAGTCAACTTGTGAATAATATTTTTCAACATGTGTCTGATTTCTTTTTACGCGGAAGTAATTGTGGGACTAATAAGGTCGAACGAAACGCTGTTTTTTAACACTTTAATGGTCATTTATCGATGTCAATGACAGCTCACGTGCGCTGCGTTACGTGCGCCGCCGGTGCGCCACGTATGCAGTCACGTACGAAATGATCGTTTCTGTTCAAGTGACACTGACGATTCCAACAGCTAGACTGACCGCGCACGCTAATTATCCAATTATCCGATACTCGTCTGTAATCACTACGGGACGAGGATTGAGATGCAGCTCGAAGGATACTGCGCGATGCGCAGCGCCGTATTGAAATACCGATTTGCGATCAATAAATTACCGCGGGCTCGTTTTCGTGCTTCCAAAGCGCTCTTCTCGCGTTCTAGTATGCACTTTAATGCATCCGCCTTTAGCGAGGCGTTCCAGTTCGTACCATGCGTTTTGGATCAAGCAGTTTGTTTATTCCGCGGCCATTCGCGCATTTGCTTCGACATTTAAATATTTATTATTGCGGCGGTTAACTGCAAGGGAACAGTAGAAGAAATATTACGCTAAAACATCGCTCCGACCTTTGTGTAACGTGCAATATAAAGGATTTAATTATCAAACGATAACGAGGAACAGAATACAATATTCAGAGTCAATCGTTTTTGTAACAATGGGATAAAATGACTGGGATATATTCAGCGCGAGAGATGAGAGACTTTGTGTCTCGATGAGGTTTATGTGAGATTTGAAACAAAAGTGCAAAACGGCAAAGTTCATTAGTTACAATTGTTAAAATTGTATATTTAATGTTTATATAATAAATTTATTTTTTTAAAGTTAATCATGGTAATACGACAAAAATAATTAATTTTAATTAAAAAATTACGATTCTTGTGTTACGCTTTCGACTTGACAGCTAATTAATTAAAATTGAAAAGTCGTTGCGAGATAATGCGGTAAATAATTTTCTCTGGATAATGTGTTCAAGAACGAAAAATTTAAGAGAGAGTGATAAAGTCACGATAGCTGTTATTCTTTACGGACAACGACATCGTGATTTATGGCGTACAGTATTGCCTCGGAATCGATCCTGGATGAAGGGAATTTTATGGAAAATATCAGCGCGATATATGGCAATCGATACGCACGAGAGTCGATTTCCCTGCGCGGAAATTTTTAACGCCACAATCTATAGCTTATGCGCGCGGCGAAACAATGAAAGCAAATATTATATTTGGTATACACAATATCGAAAGGCGACGCTAATTAATTATTTGCGCAAATAACGTCCGCGTTAGTTTCTTTCAATAAATTTACTAAAATCTGCGCCGATATTCGATAACGCGAATTATTCACTTCCATTTCGCGATATTTTAATTAAATTATGATACATATTTTATACGGACTACTAATTAGAATAATGAATTACAGTCCACATTTATATATTATTTATAGAGCTTTAAAACTTAAGTAAGTTTTGAAGAATAGCATGTGTAAACGGAGAGCAATTGAATAGATAGCCTCGCGTTGAATCGCCTTTTCAAAAGAAACTCTGTGCATAAACACCTAAGACAAACACAACATTTCATCTAGCGGGAGCCGATTTGCGAGTCCGTGAATATCGGCCTCGAAAGTAATTAAACTTTGCTGCTTTGTGCTCGACGTTTATCGCGGATGAGTGTAATTGGTCCGCTAAAGGCTTGGCAAAGAAATTGACTCTGTCAGGATGCGTATGTGTACATTTGCAGAAATATATTCTCTACCGTTTAATCGGACGAGGACGTAGCAGAAAGGGGATTATATAAAATGTGATTAAAAATACAATAATGATAGAAGGACGAGGATTTATCGCGACTTACAGCTGGGGGAGCGGAGAAAAATGACATGAAATTAAACATTTGCGTACCATGGGCATATCGTATGCTTTTATACGCGTTTTCAAGTATTTTGACAACTGTTGTTTTTTTCTATATCGCTAACGTTTTACAACTATTATCGTACATTAAAATCATACATTATAAGTTTATATGAATTACAATTACTAATTAATTATAATTATATATATGTATATATATAGGGTGTCCCGAAATTCGCGAAATTTTTATTTTAAGCAATAGTTTTTGAGATATAAGGGTTTAAATTTAGCCAATTATAGATTAGTACTCGCGTGAAGTGCACGACTACTAACACTACGACACGCTTACAGATATATTTTTGTTTAATCATAATAATATTCTCTCTATAATTGGCTAAATTTAAACTCTTATATCTCAAAAACTACTGCTTAAATTAAAAATTAAAAATAACTTTTTTACTTAATTTTTGAAGACTTTCTTGCTATGATATTTTGATTCGCGAATTTCGGGTATATATATATATATATATATATATATGTATATATATACACCATAAGTTTATTTGAATTACAAATATGTGACTTAACGCATTAGTCGTATCTTCACAATAACACGTAAAATAGAAATTGGAATTTTGCGTGTAATCGTATTTTGCCGGTACTCCACATGGAGAACAGAGGGATCTTACTCTCCATCTCATCGCACGAAAGGGCAACTGTTATTGATTTATGGTGATATAAGATATACCAAAGGTAAGAAACACCAATGGAAAGTCGGTGGTAATGTAACTCGAAAATCGCATTCTGCATTGTCTATTGGATGAGATCCAGTGGAAAAAGTATCATGCATTGAGCGAGTGCTTGGATAAACAATAGCCAGATAGATATATAGGTAGATAAACGGACTACGTAGATAAATAAATAAACAGATAAGCAGATAGATAAATAGATGGATAGGTAGATAGATGGATATGCAGTGAGAACATGTAGGGTGGTAGAAGAGACGCGCATGCATCCGCTTGAACCATACCATACCCTCGGCGGTGATACGTGGAGGGGTGGGGTGCGGGTGACCTAATTTTTGCAAAACAGCCGGGGCTGCGGATCCACCGCCGGTCCGCGGAATACTAGTAGTGGCGCTGAGGGTAGTCGCGGTGATAGTCGGTAGCATAGATGCCCACCACCCCTCCTCGCACATCGTTCGGGCACTCGGAAAATCCGCCGCTTTTCCGGATGCTACGGCACTGTGGCGCGGCGTCGCCGCCGGAGAGAGAGAGAACCCTTTCGTCAGTTGGGTCTCGGCCGCCGTCAACGTCAATACGACGAAGGCGCACGAGAGCACGTCGCCTCGGCTCCGGTTGACGCCGAGGTACATTCGACGTTCGTCGACGGGAGAAACGCGCACCTGGCCATTTGCATCTCTCGCCACGCATCCCCATTGTCTCTCCTCCCAGTCTCTCCGTTTTTCACCCTCTGGACGTACAGTCCATTTGTCTATCTTTCTCTGTCTTTCTTCCTCCCCCCCTCTCTTTCTGTCTCTCTGTCTCTCTCTCTCTCTTTCTCTGTTTCTTTCTTTCTGCACTCTTCCTCCATGCACTCCAATACGCTCGAATTTCAATCTACCGGTGTATCGCGAGCGGTACTACGTTCATGTGTGTCGCGAGTGGGCCGATAGTGCACAACACATAGCGAAGGACGCTATCTCTCAGGTGTGATAGGGAAAAAGCTAGGTTCGCGTGCTCGATGCAGAGTGTAACCGGCGAGGGTATGGCCGACGGTCGCTCCGTTTCTTTCGGCACAGTCCTCACCGGAGTGCCCGCGAGTGCGGTCTCCGAGTGCGACGGCGGCGGACGCGCCGGTTGTGAATAATAGAAGAGAGAGTGTTCCATGCTATTAGGTAGTATTGACGCTATTGGCGTTATGCTCACCGGGAGAGAGGTGGATGCTTTATCGGGGCTCCTCGTATGTTTATCCATCGTCGCTTGTGCAAATTTACGTGCCATTGTCGTAATAACAATGCGTGCGAACGCCATCGTACATTTCTGATCAACATCAATCGGATAATTCGATTTTTCTGCCTTTGTGACAGCTGATTCGGAAATTTTTCACCCGGCTTTTTTTTTTGTTGTTAAATCAGTACGAGGGGTAGTCGAACGAATTTTATTGCTCGTTTGCTTTTAGAGGGAGAACAAAAGCGCTAAGAGTGTACGAGAGTTTTTTTTTTTTTTTTTTTGCGTGTGTTACGAATATTGCAAGCTTGGCGAATATGTTGGCGGTTTATCTGGTACAAGAATTCGATAATCTTTCTTATTTGCGCAAGACAACAACGTCTTTTTCGTAACATCAATATCTGTGCGCGCTCCATGGACTTTCACTTAAAATTACTTTAGCGGTTAAACGTTTTTCCGTGCCTGTAATAAGTGGTGACAGAACGTGCTACGATATCCGATTTTTTGCTGAACGATTAGGCGAGATCGAATCAAAGAAATGAACTCAGTTATCGGTCGTTTGATTTCAAAGGGAGTATAAACGAGGATGAGGGGAATGAAACCTTAATTTCTTTTAGATTTTTTGTCGCAATGTGATGATAAACTTTAACACTATGTTTCTCAACAATTTTAAGGATTTCTTTTTTTTTTTTTCAATTGTAGAAATGACATTTTTTATTACGACACCTCTCGGTTACAGACAATATCCCTTTTTCTTATCGTTATTAAAACGTAAATGATGTCTAATCCTTTCTCTTGTAAATTCCATTTTTTAAATTCACACAGTGCCAAATAGAAAAAAAATATTGAATAGGAAGAGAAAGTGAGCGCGTTTTGGAAATGATATCGTTCTTTACTTCATGCATGACACGAAATTTCGTTTAGGACGCCCTTGTGAAAGTATTGAAATATTTATTCGGGAGATCGATTACTTTAATGGACGCTAGTAACCTTGTTAGCGGAACTGAATCCTTCGACGACGAACTTTTTAATTTTGTTAAAGAAAATCGCTCGCGGCGACAATTTTTGCGATACGCTTCGCGGCGGAAAAAGCGTTGTATTAGCCTCCATTTCTGAAAAGTCAGACAAATGGGCGGTCGTATTCTTTTTCACTATAATTTTTCGTGCGCGCCTCGGTTTTTGCGCGAAAAAGTTTAATGGTCCGCGGTTGCATCATCGAGACTTTGAAATAATAAACAAACTAATTTTGCAAACACCGTTCTGTTTTCTCTTCAAACACAGTAGATACGAGACTGTTATCAAGTGTTCTTTTGCGAGCATATTTTGCACGTTTTACATAAAACAATCTCTGAGCTTTATGCATTCCTTGTTTAATTCAAAAAGACGCCTTTGCATTAATATTTAGATTAACTAGATAAGTAAATCCGGAAAGAATGGGAGAAAAACGGGAAAATTTAATTTAATGTTTAATTTAAGTTACGCGAAAACGCACGAGATATTATCTTAATGAAACCGTTTTGTAATAAACTCGGAGGACTGACAGACTATTTCCATCTAGATTTGTAATTATAAATTATTATATAAACTCGATTTTCGTATCAATTTTCCTATCTAGAAACTCGTCTCGACTCCGATGCGCGATAGACAAGTTTTCCCACGTTTTATCACTCCAAACTTTTCGCTAAAGCGCCGGAAACATGTTTAAGTTGTTTTCGCGGGACCATTATTTTTCCGTCCGTTGAAATACACGCACTATGCTAACGTGAGTAGGTGAATTATTTCTAACTGCAGAACGCTTTTATCACTAATTATTATTTAAAGCTTTTAACTGACTGTAATAATGAAGGACAAAACACGCGGATATACATACTCGCGCGATGTATTTTTTTTTTACGTAATTTTTTATAAATTAATTTTGTAAAAGCGTTTAAGCAAATTGTTAATTTTTTTGTTAAATATTAATTGTCCCATTATAATAAACGTTTCACGCTGATTCGCGTAAGAGATCCGTTTATTGTTAATCTAAAATTTTTATGATCAAGTAGCTGCGTCTTTTTTTTTGTTGGATGAGTTTTTTTCCCTCTGCTTTCATCTGTCGCTTTTTCTCTCTCTATTAAATTTCGTTCACCCATCATCCCCCAGAGTGTTCTTCGTCGCCTGTCTGCGAAACAAGAGTACCGCTTTCCCGCGCATCCGTGTGTGCATCGCATTCTGTACTTCCGCGGTGAGATTTGCGACTCGATTGTCTGCGAAATTGAATATTCTTCTCACTTCAGTAGCGTATGCGTCAGGGATGTCTGGCATAATAAAATTCTTACGCGCTAAACGGGCGCTTATGAATACAACAGATATGTGATGGGAATTCCAAATTGAAATTATTGTGTAAAATTTATCTATCTAAAATCAATACGCGGATATTGACAATAATTTAATAAAACACAATCGGGGTGTGTTACTAACGGGAACCGTTAATGCGTACAGATTAACAATTAAATAAAATCATCGGTTTATTTCTCGCGTTCTAGCCCGTAACGATGCCAGTCTTCGATCAGGTTCTAATTTTCGTGTGGGACGGCTATTGTTGCTTATACTTTTGTATTGCTATATACGGAATGCGTAATATCGACAGGTTGCAAATGAAACGTGGTTTCAAACGAAACAAACCTTTATTCGATTGCGTTCGTCAAGTTGGTACCGCGAACGCGGAGCCGTGAGATGATAGAGCCGCGGAATCTCACGAGCACCTGTTGTAAAACTGCCAGTGTGCGTTCTCTCTCTCTCTCTCTCTCCCTCTCTCTCTCTCTCTCTCTCCCTCTCTCTCTCTGTTGCGCAAGTTTTACCGTTCTAGAATCCGGTGAAGTTATACGCGTATTCAGGTTTTATTTTCCTCTCTGAAAAATCTCCGAAGGGAGTTTTGCGTCAATCCGCGTGCTTTCGAGTGAGAATATCTCTTGTATATAATGTCGTTTTGTTGTCTCATGACTCGAAATCGTTAAATTTTCGTGTGAATGGAACAGGAAATAGATTCTCCTTCCATCGTATTATACCAAACGGGCATGCGTGCGGCATGATATTTGCCGATCCATATACTTCAACAACGTAAATTATTTGTGCATTGCGATATCGCATACATTACAGATTCTTTTGCGATTTTCGATTTTCGCGAATTACGATTTATCATGTAACATTCTGATGATATTAAAAGAATTGCAATGAATAATGCAATTGGATCAAGTCGAAGAATTTTAGTCGTAAATCATTGTTGAAGAATCTACTCTAATACGTGTATATATAATATATATTCATACTTATTTTAGAAACATTGAAAATAAATGATTTTTTGTTACAACAATGGCACGCAATAACTTCAGTAAATAACCAAGTTGAAAGGAATTTCAAAGAAGGGATAAACATTCGTTATTTTTCAGAAAGCGTTTCAGAATGCGCTAATTTCTACCAATATACCATATACGCGTACATTGCCACATATTGAAGGTATCGTGAGATTAAACTTCTAGCACGCGAACTTGTTGACAGTTACTTCATTGAAACTGGTATTTACAACAGCGCTGTAATAAAGAAAAGTTACTACTGTTTATCATCATTTTATTAGTAGCCCGTACTTGTGTGTGTGTGTGATATCGTCCGTATTTGAGTCGTGATAACATTTTTAAAACTCTATGGTCTTTCGTTTCTCGAACGACATTCATCGCCGAGCGGAAACGTCACCGAGAAATTCGATAATAGCTACGAATGTATCAGGGATGCAGCCTGTATACGAAGAAATGCATTGGCTGTCGACAGATAAATGTCAATTTAAAGCTTGAGAACAAGACAAGGAACAAGGACAGTACTGACACCGATGTAGCTTCGGCAGAATGTATCTTCGGCAGAAACGAACGTCACGCAATGTCATATAGTTTCATCCGATTATTTTGGTATAATAAGAATAACGAGAAATTGCTCTTAATTCACAGTTTCGGATAATCTGATTATTTGGCCAATTTAATAATTAATGTGATGATAATATCATTTTATTTAAGAAATAATATTAGTTCGTATATAGGTACAAATTTAGATTTAATCGTGTATATATTTATTATATTTTATCATAATTTTTTAATCTTTTTTTTTAGTAAATTTGAATAATGTTTTTGCAATCGCGAATTAGAGAAAATTACATTTGTAAAGCTTCAAAATTAAATTCGAAAAGCTAGATAATTGAAACGTTTGAATGACGTAACGTTAAATGAAAAAAAAGAATAAATATTTATTTGAGAAATTAATCTGGTTAAGTTCGAAAGGTCGATTTCAAAAATATTCGCGATATCGACATTTTTGTTACTGTACAATCCGCGCGCATACTATTAATAATCTGTATATTGATTTACCTGAATCTATTCATAACCTATCCCACCATGCATATAGTTTGCCCTAATTAGGTGTCATTCGCGATTATTTACCGTTATTGAAAAACTTTTTATTCGCCCCTCTAAATTGATTAGCGTAATTAATCGTCTTGAATTATTTTGGAATCCTGTTATGTCGTATACCGTTGAATTATGTATTTTTGTGTCTCGTTTTTTTGTTTGAAAATTTAACTTTCAGATTATTACGTAAATTATTTAAACAATTTTTTTGTGAGTTTTGAAAAGTTTTGACAAGAAAATTATTCCGCATTTACTCTACACACACATATATTTTAGATAATTTGACATAATTATATAATAAGCAAGAAAGTAAAAGAGAGCTGATTCAACTGATAATACAATCCGTGATCTTGCATTGCATGAAGTGTTAACAAAGCGATTACACATATTCAAGATGCCAATGGTGGCGATCGATGATCTCCATAGGTGAACTTAGGCATAATCGTCGCAACGTTCCGTGCATGCGCATTGGCACGTTCCATAATCGACAACAATAGATGTACTCGTAATACATTGAAGCTATAGAAACGAGAAAACAACGTGTAGCAGAAGATATTTGTTCGCGCATTGTTCTTATCCTTTCCATCAGTACCGTGAAAATATTACCTAATCTGTATATTCTTGATGAAACGTAGCATTTTCACAATTCTTTCTTTGGAGGCTTTAGTAAATATTTAGTAAATATTTGACTCGATATTTAATATTATATTCTGCACAATATTATTATTTCATAGAATAATTCTTTGTAGAATTATTCTGCAAATAGAAATTAGATTTATAATCACAAATACTGAATTTGTATCTATATTTATTCGTGCTATTTGTTTTTTTTTTGTTACGATTTTTCACGTCAAAATAACAATTCAGTTTCGTTTGAGGATTTGATTCTCGATAAATTGAAAAAATATAGAAAAATCAAACACTGTATATTTATATATCTGCCATGTATAATACAGATTCGAGAAATCACCATGCATTTTGTAATCTTTCTCAAATTATTATTAACGGAGGCTGTTGTATTACATTTTATACGTAATACATTTCGATTTATATTATATTTTATTTATTGTAAATTTCGTAAAATTCCGCATTCCATCCGTAATTTACATCGTGCGTGGTTTACATCTGAATTTATTAGTAATATAATAATATTTATTGTAAACACATATAACGCACATATTGCATGTAATACGATTAATTATGTGTTTTCAAAATATCTATTGCACTGAATATTACCTGTCGATATGCGAGAAAATATTTATTAGCGGTATCTTTTATGAAACGTAACGCATTTTGCAACGTTATTTATGGAACGCAATGAATTTGTAACATTTCAGTAATCTTAATTTCGAGTTTCAAGTTTGTCTACTTCCCAGACAATTTTATGATTTAATGGTTTGGCAAAAATTCTAGTAGATTGCGGGAAAATTAAAATCCTCGCGCGACTTTTGCGGGGAGCGGTGATCCCGCTGTGCTTCATTACAGTAGTCGCTTAAACTCGTTTATTTTTTTTTGCTCAGAAATATCGGTAGGAAACAGTCTCGAATTTTGAACGCGCTAAAACTTTCTTAACGAACTCTGACATTAGGGATAAAATTATAATTGCGTTGGCAAAAGAGAAGGACGACGAATTATTTTTCTCACTCTTTATAATTATGTATTTCCGTGATTATCTTATTCCTATTAATAGTATAAGACTACATATATATATATATATATATATATATATATATATATTTCGGATGTAATTAAGATTAAGGCGGGGATCTTCATAATTCACTTTAATTTAATAGAGTGCTACATAGAAATATTTCGGGGGTCGTGCTTTAGATTAAATTAATTTAATGAAGCGCGCAGCCAACGATTTCAATCCTGCTTATTTGGTGAAATTGCGATTGTTTTGCAACTTTCGCTTGCACCACTTACTAATTATTTTGTAATTTAGACGAGTAATTTACCATTTAGTCGGCGTCAGCCATTTCCATATTACTGCTCGATATAGCTGCATGGTAACGATATAGACTCAAGAGAGGAATGTAATTTACAATCTCTGAAGACGCTTTCATCTCTCCAGTGTTCTACGGTTAAATTTTCATTATCGACCATCGGCGTACTCGTTATTGGTTTCTCTTTTAATTTTTTCGGTTTTTCTTTCTCGTTCGCTATTCGTTTTTAAAATTACTTTATGAACCCTATATATATATATTCATTATTAGGATGGAATTTTTTAATACAATTTAATATTCGATGTGTAATTAAGGACTGTATCAGATGTCTCAGTCCTAATATAATTTCGCTTTAACGATGAATGGATAATGGAATGTGGATGACATTAATTTATTATAAGGTGCCTACAAACTTTCATTTACGTCCTGCAGTATCAATATGTGACTATGTTCGATTCACTGATTAAGCATCGAATTATGGCTGCAATAGCTGGCAGCTATAGTTTCTGGGATATTCTGCGTACGTGGTTATAATTACTGACCCTTAAATTACTAATGTCCTTCATTCGTCGTGTTCACTATGTGTTCATTACGCAACGTATTCTATTTGTACCTCTCCCTGTTCGATACTGATCCTTCTACAATCGTTCTACAAAATCCATTGCGTTAAAGTGTAACCCGCATAGGATTTATAGCTGAGGGGAAAATGTGCAACGACATTAAAACGCATTGCCTGTAGTGATCGATCTCGTCTGTTTAACTTGTACTATAGTGTGAGATAAAGCTCAGTGTAAATCACAGAATGATATTACACTTTGACGCTTTTTCAATGCCTGTTTCTTATCGAAGTCCAAACTTGATGATTTAATAATCTGCTTGCGAAAGTATACGCGTGCAATAAGAGGAATGAAATGAAAGATTTCGAAGGATCAGATTTTATGTCGCTCGTATTAAAACAAAGACGCACGAAGCCGCCATTTGTAGCATCGAAATAATCTCGTGAATCTTCTTATCGTCTCTCCGCAACCATTATTATAGAACATAAATACCGTACAACCAGCGACTAAAAATAACGTTGTCATAAATACGCGCTTGTCGTTCATTGATTTATCAGCAAAATTGAGCTATGTTTCTCGCTGTGAAATCGTAGATTCATCCTTATCGCGAGAAACGCGATCGGGGTTGTGCGTTGCGTGCTCGTCTTTTCGTTTTGCATAGCCTTCGTAAACTTGTAGCCTTAACCTTTGCAATTTAATTTACGACCTAGCGCTTCCTGCGCCAAAGAAAACCTTTGCTAAAGTACCATTATTGAGATTAAATGCACGCGCGTGATACAGCCTCTTAATTATAACGATTTGATCCTCTGATTGTACGCGGCGGTCTATCTTAAGCAGTAGGCACAATGAAGAAACGCAAAGTGAAATTGTAACGCTGCAACAACATATATTTTATATGCCTTATTAATCTCTCGTGTTTGAAACGATACACGTGAAACGGTTGAAACAGAAAAAAGTTTATATCTCAACACGATCATTGTCAATATGTGGCATTACATACGTCGATATTGTTTACGATAACTTCTTGCTTTTGCATGTATCTCTCTTCTCGGTTGTATCAAACGTTTACAAAACGAGAGCTCTTTCTTCGGGGCACATTGTGAATCTTACCACGAAATTTTACAGAACATCGGTCCCAATATCTAATTATTCTACGAGACTTACCCGAGCGCAACCTTCTCAACGATCGACAATCAATTTCGTGTTCTGGTCTGGATTCTGTATCGCCGACGTCATCAAGAGCCTCATTCATCGTCACTGGAAATTACGCGATACGTCAAACGCACTCGTACGAACTTCATTTACAAACAGATATTTAAAAAAAAAAAAAAATAAACGGAACGTATTCCAGTGTAAGTGTAATTCCACGAGTGAATGCGTGAAATCGTGGGTCGAGTAATGAGTTATTTGAACGAGAGTGCAAATCGAAAGCTCATTCGTGTCAGCCGATCGTAATGTACGATTAAAGCGGAAGAAACGACAGTAGCGGAACACGTTCGCGTTCTCGAGAGTGATCATTTTTCGCGTAATTTAAATTTATATGATATAACCCGAGTATTGTGCCAAAATGGGAAATCCGTGGGTAGGAGTGCGTTCGGTGCGACGATCGCGTGTCGTGGAAAATTGCGCGAATTCTCTGATTATAGACTGAAACTGCTACGACCTTTCGCAATGCTAATCTTGCGTATTATTAATTGCCGTCGTTGCGGATAAAAGTAGTTCAACGGGGGTGATTGAAATCCGATTATACTGGAAGTGTACCGAAATGTGGCGGTTACAAATTTGGGGTAGACGTGAAATATTTCTAAATAAATCGTTATAATTAATTTTATAATCAAATGTGTCCACTGTGAAATAAGTAACGCTTAAAGTTTCTTCTAATTGACCTCGACTCGCCATCTCAGCGCTATTTTCTACAGCATGATAATATCCGTTCGATACGTACGAGGAAACTACAATAGGAAGCAAAAGAAAAAAACTGGAATAAAAACATGAGAAAGCGTCGGCATGCGGATTCGTTGGTAACACACAGTTTTATACGTCGCCAACAGTAATCGATAATAACACAATAGATTCAACAAGTAATAATATGTAGATTCTATAATTCATGGAAACAAGTGACTCGGCGATGAGGCGACCGGAGCGAACGGTGTGCACTGTCGCCGGTAAACTGTACTGCAAACAAGAAGGAGCAAAGGGGTGCATAGATATATCTAGCTTAGTCGCGGTTTGTTGTCCCGAAGTTTCCTAAACCGCGTACCGAGTGTCCTGGCGAGCGCGAAATAAATTAAGAGCGACGAGCGGGCTTGTCGACGGCAACCGACCAGGGCGACAAAACTCCACATGTTCAGTTTACCTCATAATGGCTGGTTACTTCGGGCCGTGAATAGCCGCGGGGAAGTGTGCGAATGTGGCGAGAACGGTGAGAAAATAAGATGGACGTGGGGACTCGAGCGCAAGCCAGAGAATGGCAAGTTCATTTTGAGTTTCTTACGTTGGGAGAATAAAACACAGAGGGATGTCGTCACTCCCTAACAACATTTTATGGTATTCCGGGCGACTTAGCGTAAGTGTCGACTAAAGGAGATACCAGTGCTCCCTCGTGGCTAATAAACGGGATCTTTGTAAGATAATACCGACGCGATAATACTTGACAGGATTCAAGGACAGGTCGCATGCGTAAATCGAAAATGTCAAGAAAATGACGATGAAGTTTGTGATTTGCGAGGTAAAACGTAAAGATTTCAGAGAGTTAAAGGGAGATATTTTCCATATTAAATATTCCCTAGAATAAAGCAATTGCTGATAGTTAACTCACTTTGGATGATTTTCAGAATTTTACTTTTATCTAAAGACAGATGGAAAAGCTGCAAACAGATTTAATCATGTGGGCAAGAGAACAGAGGGAGCGAGTGACACGAAAGACGATGCAACATCAAAGGAAGCCTTGAGGGTAATTTGCTCCACTAATCGTTCATTAGTATATACATGTTACTTCTACGAGATAATGTTGTAGTATAATGGACTCTGCGAAAAAACCGACGTCGAGAGTAAAGATACGATTAGGAGTGTTCGTCGAAAAACGAAAAGTTGAGAGATACTTCGATATTTGTAGACACAGCTTACACACAATCGATTTGTTAACGATATAATAATGCGTTTGTATCGTGTCGATATAAAGAACAAGAAATCGAGTGTTTTAAAAAGAAGATATTGGGATTCCCAATGTAACGATAGACGATTTTTGTGGCTTCGTGTTCTTAACTTTCCGAGAACAAAGTGCGAGAGAACAGGGGGAATTTATCATGGTATTTAAGAGGGAAATCTATATATCAAGACGACCTAAGAATGATGGCGTGCGTGATTTGAATACGAATCATTAATTTAATGGTGGTACCATTCTAAATGTGTCACGATGGAAATTCTACTGGCTGTTCGATATTCGGTTGATCTATCGTTTGATGTTCGTCGTGTGAGCATATTCAAATGCGAAAGACAATTTTCCGACGACCGTTGAGTTAAAACGTTCCATCGCGTGAGACAGAAGAAATTAAAAAAAGAAGAAGAATAAGAAGAAACTAATGTTATATATTTTTAATGTTGAGATCCTATTGAAAAATTTTATAATAATGGTGAGAAAGAAATACACGCTTCCTTATTTTTAACAGAGAAAGTACCCCTCGAAACAAGGGATATATTTGGAAACTCTCTGGAAAAACCACGTAATTCAAACATTTCAGATTACAGTCTTACAAAACATATCCCAGCCATATAAGTAAAACCAGCAAGCGGTAACTTTTGCCGAGATGAGATACATCGCTAATTTATAATAAGAAACGAAAGCCTTGCAAAGGGACAATCTTTTCTGCATATTTAAATTTATCGCCATAGGAAGTTTGTGTAGCTTACAAGAGTGACTTGAGAAAAAAGAAATGTGTAGAATTTACACAGTACGTTAGACCGTGAAGAAATTAAAAAATCATGCAGCTCGCGAGACGTTACGTCGACGAGTGTAAGCACGGAGTAAAGGAGCGGTTGAATTTCCTGGAAAAATTAAATCAACAGTTTGAGTTTCGCGAGACGACCGCTCGTCGCTCATTTATACAGATGCTAAGAACTTGCCAGAGCACTTGAAGCGACTGAATCGTGCTAGAAGTTCGTCGGGAGACGAGGCGATATCCAACCGGCCTTCACCCGGGAGCGAAGGGCACTCAAGGTTTTCACTCATGCCGAAACCGTATTCCGTCGTCGTCTCGAGTAGAGACTCGAAGAGTCAACAAAGAAAATAGCATCGAGTATCGTCGTATATATCGCGATACTCGGCGCTCAAGCGGCGGCGACGACGACGACGACGACTCATTCGCTCGCGAGTCTGGGGACCGCTAAATCCCCGGCGCGGCGAGCACGTCGATCAGCATCGCGGACGCTGCCTCTGCTGGGGCTTGGTACCGGAACAGCCTGGCTGCAGCTGGCCCCCTGGATGTTTTGACATTGAGTGCGATAGGGTGCCGAGGTGGGGGGCGCGTGGTCTTGCTGCCTGCCGTGCGCCGGCGGCGGCGGGGGTGGGGGTGGTGTTGGTGTCTCGGGGGCCACCCCCGAGGCCAAGAAGGGTTCCTTGCTGAAGCATCAGCAGTACCAGCAGCCCCACCAGCAGCAGCAAAGAGGCCAGCAGCACGAGCATCAGCAACAGCAGAGGGTCCTGCAGCAGGAGAGATCGTATCTTTATCAACCGCCGAAGCGTATCTGCGTGGCTCAGTTTAAGGAGCGCGCGCCACTCGGCGATCTCGACGAGGACCTCGACGACGATCTCGACGAGGAGGAGAAGGAGGAGTGCGAGTTGAGGATAGGCGAAGAGGAAGATTACGGCAGGGAGGGCAGTACTCAGCATCGGCTTAGCCCGCGGCTGCACGACATCGAGGAGGAGGACGATGAGGAGGGTCGTCACGTCCGAGAACGGTCAGTCGTTAATCTAATTTCGCGGGTTTTTCGATCTAGTTTACGCTAAGCGTTTCAGGAACAGGCTTTATTAGTGTTTCGTCTTGATCCTTCTATAGCGCTATTTAGAAATGTTTACGCCGCACGTTTTACACGATACGCCGCGCCGCGCCGCGAGGATGACTGTTGCGCCACGATTAGATCGTAACACTTGGGTTTAACAGAGATATGCCAGTATCAATCTATCAAATTCAACAGACGCATTCAGCGAAGATTACAGTTGAGTAATAATCTAGTAGCCACTCAAACATGATTACATGGTTCTCTCGTGTGAAGCCCATTATGAATTGTTCTCAGCATAAAACAGTCGCATTCAATTGTTATTCCACAATTCGTTATCTCTACCGTAAATTCGCTCATTATCCGCACGGTGCGCAATTGTCGGGCCCGCAGACATTGAGTTTTAAGAATACTCCGCATCGCTAATTGTTGTCGTATCATTAATGCAAACGTGTCGTGTCGTGCAGTGTAAACAACGCTTTAAGTAGCTAATTGCCGATTTAATTAAATATTCTGTTATGGTTATATCGATAGAATGCGTTAAATTTCGCGATTAATTAATGACGCTTCTCTCTATGATCGCAATTAACTCGACGGCAGCTCGCGTGTATATGTGCGTGTAATTTATGCATTATTATCGTTACGTTATGTATTAATAACGTTAAGTATTTTACACACTCGACGTAACATATTTCTCCTATGATATTCCCGTACCATAGGTAAATTTGTTTTCGCAGATGGTATATATTATTATTATTATTATTATTATTATTATTATTATTATCATTATTATTATTATTAGTATTAACTACATTAACGGGAAATTTTATTCGTACGTTTATTATATTTACAATAGCGTTAAGCTACACATTATTGATGTACGGAATTTTGCAATTGTCATTCTTTACATTATTCAATCAATTTGAAATTGTATGTCTATAGATTAGGACGTCTGTTGCTGCGAGAGTTTGCGGTAATACGTTGGACAAACTTTCTTGTCCCATACGGCGTTTGATTTACAGCTTCGCTGCCTAGGATTGACATTTCTGAATGTTGCGAGTTACGTGTAGTGTCATGTGTGTAACACATATACAATCAAACTTACAACTGTCACATATCGACGTCAACGTCAAATCGCGTTTACTCGCCTGACTTTGTTGTTCACCCAATTTAACAGTGCATTACGGTTGTGAAAGTTACATTTAGTTTCAGCCTCCGAGAGCGTTCGTCTCGGAGGAAAGAGGAAAAGTTATTAACACGCAAGCAGTTGTGTTGGCACGAACAATGCCGGCAAATAAATATAAATGATTGGTAGCACGATATAAGTCTATTTTCGAGTTTTAGGACAATTTGCATTTATCATAATGCAAATTATGTTCAATATTTTATTTAATATTTAACATTGTAACTCGAAAGAAAATTATTTCTACTTGATACATAATTTCTTGTAGAATGCCAATGCTGATTCGTCGTTATGTATCAGTTCTCTTTACTCAGATCCTTTTTTTTCTCAGATAAAATTAAGGAAACGTGTACCTAATATTGTATTAACGATGATCTTCGATTATCGGCTTTTTTTTGCTAAAATGTGGAGCGCGCGTTCATATACCGATTGATGCGTCCGGCTCAATGGGACTCGCGTGGTTATTGTGCTCGTAGAGAATGGCACGGGAAGATCTTCGATTGGCTAAGCGACGGAGGGTAATCCCGAGAATGGCGAGATTTAATCTGCCCGCTATTCATGTCCCATATCGGATTAAATGTTACAAGAAATTGGCATTGGTTGTGCTCCTGCGTTCCTGACATAATTGCCCGTGGAGCTCCACATCGAGATCTGGATTCAACCTTCGAACTATTTCTTTTCTTTTGTCAATCCCTCTCGAGCTTTTTTTTCTAAAAGCTTTTTAACAATAATCTTATTTTGAACTCTCGTGATTATTCGTGTATACAAATCGCAGTTACCGTGCATACAAATATGGATCG